GTTCTTCTCATGATCCGTAGTTCCCTAGTGGAAGGCTTGTTGACCTCGAGGGACTTACCTCGCGCGACCAAGCGATGGCCTTGGGCCGCTGATCGTCGAGCACCTCGCAGCCGATGTGCAAATCCTGGCCTTGCTCGAGCTCGATGTACTCGTACGGTAAGATGCGGACTGACGGACTGGTCGATTCCTTCACCAGCAGCCGGTGCACCACGTTCTTGTGCTCATTCTTCTCGAGAGCCTTGCACTTGTAGTTGTCCGAGCTGTCCTCCGGAAGGGCGTTGTGTATGAAGAGCGTGTTGTTTTGCAGCCGATGCAGGCGGTTGTTCTGCGACAATTTTGCATCGCCAGCAAATAGCACTTCAGCGCCCTTTTCCCAGTTTATCATCACGTTATCTGTAAAGTTTTATGATGCTTAAGTCGTGAACTTGTCGATCGCCAATAAGAATGCAAATTCGGCTTGATGTCATAGGGCTCTCGATCACGATGATTCGTTTGCATTTCGAGAAATAGTTTCGTAGTTGTTTGAAGGACACAATTCGTTAAGTTATCTCGGTGACTGTCTGTCTGTCTCTCTCTCTCTTTCTCTCTCTCTCTCTCTCTCTACCTCTACCTCTACCTCTACCTCTACCTCTACCTCTACCTCTACCTCTCGTTATGTATCTTTCTGCCTCTCTGCATGTGTACGCGTGTATGTGCGCTCGCGCGCGCGTCTAAGCTCTACAGCGATTAAAATAGAACTTAGAACAAAGTGGATTTTTTAGCGTTATATTGGTATTCCGTATGGGAACATTAAAATATTTATTTCAGCTAACATATTAAAATTGTGCATCGATAATATAAAAGTATCGGATGGTTGATTGTCAAGTCTTTGAGCTAATGAAAGATTATTTATAATATTATACGATTGTTGTTCGACACTGATTTTGACTGCTTTCGCCTATCTCCAAGTCCATCGAAAATATTGCTATCGCGATTGATGCATCGGATGAGTTCATGCGGTAATAAAGCCTTTTAACGATATTTTTAAGCTCTTAATTACACAAATATTTATTATGAAGATTATGAATTACATAGCGAGTTTGTGCCAGTTATATCGAAACGGACGATTAAATTTTTATTTGCATGCCCGTTATAACTGTAAGGGGAATCGGAGAATTCGGATTCTTTAATGATAAATATTAGTGCCAAATTCCTCCCTTATTAATAATGTACATTAATTATTACTACTTCATTATAAGTACTTATTAATAATCTAAACTGTTAACAATCTGATATTTGAATTAACCTTTATACAATGATATGGTAATATTTCCGATGCGCGTCATTGCAACTTGACATATTGAAAACAAAGGAACAACAAATTTTATTAGCATTCACGACTTAAAAATCAACATCGTCATTAGAACTTAATGATAATATTTCGTCAATATTATTATTATCGTTCCCGAAATATGCCGGTATTACATGAAAAAATAAAAATAAAAAAATTAAATAAAATAATGTCAATGTTATATCTCGTACGAGGAAAAAAAAAAATCTAATCTTGCTTATTTTAGAATATCTGGAACATTTCCAATATCGGCTAAATTGTTACGCCAATGAAAGTTCTAATTTTCATTTTATATTTCGCTTATGAAACATTTGCGCTAACAGCAGCATCTAAATACCAAACGAATTATTTATTTGCCATTATATAATTTACTACTAAAAAATGAATTGGCCTAATTTTATTATTCAAGAACATCGTAAAATTTCATCTAGATGACATAACGAACGTTTTCATTACTAATGCAATAGGATCAAATTTAAGCTTAATTAACAATTGTGGCTTTAATATAATAACGGTAATTCGAGCGAAGCAAGAATTTTCATTAATCTCCATGTAATAATAATCGTGGGTGTCTTATAATGAGGAGCGATGCGCAAACTCCCAGAGAGACACTAAACCGCCGACAATGATTGTAATAATCAAGCAATCGCTTAATTGCGTTAAAAATTCACTCCTCACGACTCACCCGCATTGACGAAATTACATGGCAGATAGACGTCGCTGCCCGCCTCCACCTGAAAGTATTGTGACTGCGTCAGGAGTTGAACCGGCGCCGATGACAAACCCTGTCCTTCGCTGTCATCGTACGCGTCCTCGTTATCCTCTAATTCGGCGTCATCCTCCGGATAAACGCTGTCGTCAATTTTGTCGTCGCTCGGCTTGCAGCAGACTGAAATGCGAGGCTATGATTATTATCTCGGGGAGGCATTCATGGGGATGGGAGCATTATTTTTGCTAGGATTTTCCATTCCACGCCCGGCCGTAAGATGAGAAGGCGAATCGTTTTACGGACTCGCATTATGCTGTGAAAATCTTGCGTATCGGAGTCACGAGTGTTTGTATTTCGAAGAAACCTCTTGACTGCGATAGCCATTAGCTCGGAGAACTCGTTTATAATCAGGGCAGCCATTTTTTACAGCCCGTTGTTACTAACAAAGAAATTGCGGCTAATGTTGTTAATAGCGGCTTAATACTTCACTTCCTAGTGTAAAACCTGCTGAGCCTCAAAGCGAGTATCCAAAAAAAGAAGCGGACGCATCGAGGATGTGTGGCGAGGGGGAATGAGAGAGAGAGAGAGAGAGAGAGAGAGAGAGAGCATACGCAGACGAGAAGAAGCGAGTCATTGATTTGTTTTGACAATGGGACGATGGGAGCAGGCGATATCGGCTTACGCAAGCTCCGTCCAAGACGTCGCTGCGTCTTTTCATTGTCCTTCTTAGACGGCCTCTTCCTACTTTTACACGCTATCCTCTTTCGTTTCCCGGCTTTCCCATCCATTGCATCCTATTATTATTGAAAGTAGGAAGTATTTTTGAAAGTGATCGAACCGGGAAGGTCTCCACGATGAATTCTCCTCGGGTTAACACCATTTTGCCAGCGTTGGACGATCGACGAACAGTCGTTTAATGTTCTAGTTTACGTTAACATGTGCAGACGAGTCGAATGTCCGTAGGAATAAGATATTGTTATAATTAAATATTAACATTATATTCATTTATCATTAATATAACGATTGTTTAAAACGGCCACCCGTTCATAAAATTAATAATTAACAATTGCGCGTACTATAATTACTCTGTTCAAACTTATTGTTATAATTAATTTAGTAATTTAGATATTGGATAAATACTTTATTGACATTTGCTTTCGTATCCTAAGAATATCTAACAAATGCCTATCCTTCCATCCTTTATCCACTCAAGTTTGTTTTATCAAGGACGCTCGGTTAATTATTATTAAACTCAATTTTTTAATAATGAAATCATTTTTAGATACGTTGTATTTTGTATTTAACGAATAAATTAGTTTAATGGTTTAATTAATGTATCAGGAAATTAATTGTAGTGCGATAAAAAAAAAAAGCTTGAGCATACTAGGTTTTTACAAACTTTTACAAAACAATTACACGAAACGCATTTTATCATTAATAAATTATTTTTGTGCAATTCCATGGGTAAAAAAAAAAAGGTAAAAAAAAAATATAAATTAGTGTCGATGAATCATGGAAGTAATATGTTTCTTCTTTCCCCTCAATTTTTAAATAATGTTTAAAACTTGATTTGTTTATCAAACGATGATACAACTAATTAATGAAAAGCTATAAGACGACACAAAGGCTTTTTTATTTTTCCTCAGCTCAAAATGTCCTATATAAAATTTTTTCTATTTATTCTATACTATTCTATTTTTCTCACTTATTAATTGCCATCGCATTTCTCGTCACCTCTTAACTAACGATGTACACACACACACACACAATTTTTCTCGCCATCGTATCTCATTTTTCTCGGAGGTCCATGAACCCATAGCTAAACTATAGAGAAATAGAAAGACGAGTAAGTTCTCACTGACATTCCTCTCTCCTCTCCCTCTCTCCCGCTCTTGCTCGCTCATTCGCTCACTAGCTCTCTTCCTCTTACTCTCTCTCTCTCTCTCTCTCTCTTTATATCGAGTCGCGGCGAGAGGAGCGTGCGTATAGAGTTGAAATTAGATTTGTGAACCGCGTCCGATTTCAGCGCATGCGCCTTCGCCTCAATATACGCGCGGGAAAGACGAGGTAAGCTTTATACACCCCCTCCCCTCAGCATTACGAGTCATCATTTCCGCTTGGTCGATCAACCCTTTTTACTCCGGCCTACGAGCATGACATTTTCCTTATGCCCAGGATTTTCCAAATGCTTTCCGAGCTTGAAGTGCGCCGCTTATTTCTTGTCCCTCGTCTATTATAACATCTCGATTCAATGTACGAGCGCGAATTCTTGGAAAGGACGTTTCGTTGCGTTAGAGGTGCTACATGTTAAGTACATATTGATTATAATTGGAGCCTTTGTTGAACGAACAACGATCATATAAAAGGCCATTATTTCAATAATAAATTTGGTGTGGGGGATTGTCGAGTTGGTATACTTTGTCACGAGTGCGCAATTCCTTATATGATTAAGCACGTAAATATATTGTATTTTTATTTACATACAGAGACAACTGCTTATGGAGAGAATTAATTGAAGCGCTTTTTTTTTTTTTTTTTTTTTTTTTTTTTTTTTTTTTTTGTTAATCTTTCATATGAATTACTAGTCTAAAGTAATAATATTGCAATTCATTTACTATGTAATTTTTTAATTTTGTGTGTGATTTAACATTACGATATTGTCGCTAAACCACACGATATGATACGTTTGAAAACTTCTAAATAAGAAAAATAATTGTCATAATTAATAATTTCTGAATAATTGGATAGATTAACTGTTGTGAATTAATGCTGACGCGACATTATTGAAAACAAAAGAATAAAAAGTATTTATTATAATGTAAAGTGTTAAATGAACAAGATCTATCTATCTATTTATCTATCTATATATATATATATATATGTATAATACGATAATTCATACAAGAGAAAAAGCCTGATATGATATATTGATTTTTCTTATGAAAAGTTAAAACATCATTTTTAAAAGTAGAACATATAACGAACTTAATATGCACATATGGGTAAACAATAGGAGAGCTTAGTCATAAAATGAAATTACCAAATTATTAAAATAAATAGTCGTTTCTCGTATCTCATAATTTAAATTGAAAGTCGATGCATATAGAGCGTACTAAAGTTTTACTTTAATGCACACATGTTTTCGAAAAGCTATAAGCAAAGAGATTACATGATTATTTAAAATAGCAAATAGCAAAATAAGAAATAAAATAGGAAATAGCAAAACTGTAAATACACACTTTGAATCTGACGTAGAAAATATTATTAAATATAGACTAAATACGTTAAGTATCCATAAACGCTTAACTACTTTGACTATATAATATCTAGATTTCTAGGTTATCACTATTTTATTATTTATGTATGTATATATATATATATATATATATATATATTTTTTTTTTATTTTTAAACTGTCATCCCTGATTTGTTCAAGTACTGCACGTCGATTATTCAAACGACTGTTTCCATCGTAATTGAAATTGCTTGCATTACTATTATGCATAATAACCCAGTCCGATTGGTGAAATTGAACGATAAAATCAAAATGCGTACGCGCGGCAATTGAAAATTGAAACATTTGTTAGTTACATTGCTTACGAGCTTGTCAAAAAAAGCATTAACGCGTTTACATGAATTGTTGATGGTACGATACCAATTGGAATACTCGAAATATATTTATCAAGTATTTAAAAATACCTTAACGTACTTTCTCATCTCCGATTTTCGAAAATGCAAACCAAGACACATCTTTCGAGTAAATAAGCCGCGAACAATCGACTTTTCTCCACGCGCTATCAATGCCACGCCAAGGTGATAAATAACCGAGACTGGCATTCTATATTTTTCTCTCGCCTCATTTCCATTAGTAGGTCATGACGATAGGGCTTGGCTTACTTACAATTACATCCTTTCAATCACTTACGTAAAGCGCTGATAAATTTACGCTTTAATAGCACATAAAGTGCACTTTTAGCGTGGAAGGATCTACTAGTCGACGTAAATAATGACAATTAATTCTATCGGTGAAACTCCAAGTCGACTCGAGGACATGTCCTCCCTCGTTCCTTCACCTCCTCCCCCTCCCCCTCGTTCCTTATCCTCCTCCCCCACCCCCTCCGCCTTTTCTAAGTTCGCGGGCAATCGGGCATTGGCCTAATTTTCACTGCGACAACGTGTCCTGCTTACGGACATTGCGTCCTCGATGGATATATCGGGATAGCATCGTCGGGACTCGGCTCCGGGAACAAATCGTGCCGCCAGTCATCTGTCTGTCCTCGCTTGCCTCGCTCCGACCTCATCCAACCGAACGGGAAGTCGCAACGCTTTCATTACGCTCGAGACCAGCTGAGCTTATCGTCCTCCTAACGTTGGCCTTAATAATTCCGCCACACGGAAAAAAGCCATTTGGGAGAAAATTGACTTGCCTCGTATGGAGAAAATGTTAACCAAAGCTCGGCCCAAGTACGTCGGGCACAAGTCAAGCGAATTTTGCTTTAATGAGTGTGTTGCGTTAATTTCGCACTGGCGAGCTACCGACATCATCGGAACTAATATACCAATTGTAAATTATCCAACTGTCAGCCCCGGCGATCGTTTTCCTGATTAATAGCGCGTCACGATTAGATAAATAAATCGGATAAATCGTGTCGAGTCGGGCTCTACGTTATCTGCGCCCAGCTCCTGGGACACGATCGTCCAGGGCTGGGCCAACGATCGATTGGCCTACATAAGCCGAGCTTGGCGTCCGAGCTCGTAATTATCCGTCTCATGAAAATCTCGGCGGCGGCAGTGGCGGCTGTTGCGCAAGCGACACCCCGCGCAATTTTAAACCTCCGGCTTCTGCGTCACTTCTGCCACACGGTCGGGGGTTGTTGTTGTTGTTGTTGTTGTTGTTGTTGTTGTTGTTGTTGTTGTTGTTGTTGTTGTTGTTGTTGTTGTTGTTGTTGTTGTTGTTGTTGTTGTTGTTGTTGTTGTTGTTGTTGTTGTTGTTGTTGTTGTTGTTGTTGTTGTTGTTGTTGTTGTTGTTGTTGTTGTTGTTGTTGTTGTTGTTGTTGTTGTTGTTGTTGTTGTTGTTGTTGTTGTTGTTGTTGTTGTTGTTGTTGTTGTTGTTGTTGTTGTTGTTGTTGTTGTTGTTGTTGTTGTTGTTGTTGTTGTTGTTGTTGTTGTTGTTGTTGTTG